CCACAATTTTTTCGTTAGCTACGAATTTTCGTATTCAACCAAATCTTCATTCTATTTAAAAGGAAAAAGAAAAAAAGAAACAAAAAATTAAACTCATATAATAAGTTTTGTGTATCCTCTTTCCTTTCGCATCAACAAATATTTTCGTTCTAATTTTTTTTCAGAAAATCTAACCAAAGATTCAAAAAAAAAAGAAAAAACAAAGTAAAAATTGATTATAAATTTAACAAATACTTCAAATGAATCAAAATGTAAGGATTAAATTTAAATTTGTTGTTATATTTTAACAATAAATGAAATTAAATAAAATGACGTGAAAAAACTGGATATGGGATTGAAAAACCATATGATCCGAATATATGATGACGAGTGCTAATGATCCGATCGATAACAATAGTGGTGGTAAACTGATCAAATATCGTCTTAATTGATCTCAATCTGTTGTGACAGTTAATTATTAATATGAAGAAAACACTAAGTTTGTTAGAAAAACAAAAAAAGGAAGAAAATAATCAAAATGTCATATACACTTTAATAAATAAAAAAAAAAAAACTAAAAAATTGAATTAATAAAATGATTTCAACAATATTAGATTAATTAAACCAACAATTCAAATAAAATAATTTGATTGAATGTTTATTTGACTTTTTTTTAGCAATTTAACATATTCAACTATCGTCCCTTTATTTCTTTAAAAAAGCGCAAAATTTTTTTTTTATTCACAAAGAACTAAAATACCAAATTTTGGTTATTTGAAGATTCTTTCAAAGCTCATATACCATTTTTTCAACTTCACGAAAAGATTATTTTGAAATTGCCAAAGTATTAATGTTTGACGTTCCACTCAGTTTATTTCTTTCCAAAATTTAAAATTTGCTTAATCATTCATCAATTAATATTAAGGAAAAAAGTTAAATTTTGTAAAACAGCACCAAAGATTGCAAAAAACTTTGCCTAGAATAAAAGAAAATTAATTTAAGTAGTATCAAAAAAATACCAAAAAAAATTCATCTTTATATTTATTAAACTTAAAAATACTAAAATGCTATAATTTTTATGTTGCAATGAAATTAAAATGTTTAATTAATTAAATGAATTGATAATTTTTCCAAAATGGAATAATTTGAAAATTGAACACTATCGTTACTTCTAATCAGCACAAAATTTGATGAATAATTGCTATCCTTTGATCATATCATACAATTTAATTGACCAATTTATCCCATCTATTTTACTTGTCTTTCTCAGAAATAATTATAAATCAGTTACTTTTCACTATCGATTTTGCGCGGCAATGACAATATATGCGCCTTTCATCAGTTATTTGTGAATTTTTTTGCTTACAATGTGAAAATTAAATTTAAAACAAATATTAATAATAAAAATATTAAATTTTAATGATGAACTTTTGAAGAATACATTCTATTTCTAAATAAATACACCATATTATTTCTTTTTTTTTTTTTTTTTTTTTTTTTTTGAAATCAGCGCTTTATAACGAGGTTAGATAGCAGCAGTCAGAAGGTCTCGAATCATAACTTGGCTTATTTAGATTTCTTAACTATCTGAATTTGTTTTCAGTTCAACATTTGAAAACGTTAATAAATTAATAGTGGATTTTAAAAATATTTAACTAAATGAAATTATTATTAATGAATATAATATGAAAGGAAAATATGATAGTAAAAGAGATAATGGCAAAAAAAAAATGCCATAATTACAATTGCAGCTTTTTAGAAAAACGATTAGTGGCGATAAAAAAAGAAAACTTTTTGTAATGAAAATGATAATAATTAGGCGGTGGATAATACTGTGAAAAAACAATTTGAAATAAAAATGAAAAAAAAGAAAAGAGTGAAATATCGTATGCCTGTAAAGTGAACAATTGCGCCGAAAAGAGTGAAATATCGTATGCCTGTAAAGTGAACAATTGCGCCGAAAAGAGTGAAATATCGTATGCCTGTAAAGTGAACAATTGCGCCGAAAAGAGTGAAATATCGTATGCCTGTAAAGTGAACAATTGCGCCGAAAAGAGTGAAATATCGTATACCTGTAAAGTGAACAATTGCGCCATTCGTTTAGTTGTTTATTTCATTTTAGCTTTTGTTGTTCTTCTCTTCCATAAAGTAAATATTTTTGCAATGATTTTATCGGCAAAAGAAATGTTGCACTATGCTTTGCTAATATAGTTGCGGGTAACAGTCATTTATGTGTCATATTATGCACAACTAACGTTGTACTTAGATCGATTACCGCCTTTTCGTTTTATCTTTTTTTTTAAAAGAATAAATTGAACAACGTGTTTTTTTTTTTTTTTGAATATTTTCTAAGATTTACAAGAAAAAAAAAGTATTTTAATTAATTAATTTCATCCAGATATAAATATTTACGAAAGACTTTCAAGATTTAGCGTGTCATATTTGTGGGATGATTTGACGAATATATAACTAATCAATTAATTAATCTAGTATTGATTAATGATATGAAGGAAAAAATTATGCATAAGGATTATTTCACCATATTTTAATTTTACAATAGAAAAAATATAATATTACAATATTTCAGTTTAATTTTTATTATGTCGCTAAAGCTTTTTAGCCACATTATGGAAATTACAATATGCTTTCAATGCTTCACGGAATACCTTCAAAACACATCTTTGAAATCACGCAATGGTAGTTTGCAGAAATTTTTATGCTAACTATAAGCTAACCATTTAATGACAACAGAACTATTTAAGCTATCATTTCTTTTAACTAATAAATTTATTTCTATCCATGCTGCTACTCTATTCAAGATCTCCAACGACTATTCTAGAATAATAATTATTTACTCTCTTAGCATAATAAAAAATGCTTACTCGATCCTTACTAGTGCATCCCCTGTAAGCCTATATGCTTCGATGATTTTTTGTTTTCTTCAGACCAGAAACATGTCTCCCGTTTGCAATTCAGGCCATTTCGAAGGTCTCTTTTGTTGCCAGCAGTATAAATGGAATGTTTAGAACAAAAACTATATCGAATTTCATCATACTACTAAATAATATAGACAGTCAATTAAGCATTGAATTTTACATCCATTACCTTATTTATAATATTATCAACGGAATATTTCACAAAAGTTTGTTAAACTTTGAAAATATCAAATTAGTTATCAATGATAACAATTTGGCTATTAGGTACAAATAACAATTCAGGTATATGAGACTAAAATATAGCAAACAATATGTCTTACAAAGAAAAAACATAGCTAATAGTTAAGCATTATACAGTGGACAATTATAATATTTGTAATAAGAATAATTAATTATTATGCGAGTTAACTGATTAAAGAGGTGTAAGCATTCCAGAATGACTTCCGTAAATCAGTCGAATAACAAATATCTAAATAATTAATTGCCGTAACTGATTAAATAATGCTAAAATTTGATTCATGTATTGCAGATTTCTCTTCTCATAATGCTTATTTATCACTGTCATATACATCACACGTTGTCATTGTTGCACCATATATGCTAATAGCATTTCAGTTTTGCATGTCAGTGAAACCTAATTTAAACAATAGTTTTGCTTTGCATTCCTGAATCATCAGATAAAAAAATTCAAGATAGAAATTTGAAAACAAAAGTTAAATAAGGTGGATTTTTGGTAAAATTGTTATTTTGTTTGAAACTGAAATTGAAAACTGACTTTTAGTTAATTAATAGTGTATTGAAAAAATTTGAATTTTTATCAGTTATTTCTATGATGATTTTTTTTTCCTTTTTTTGTATTAATCGAACAAAATGTTTTATCCTTTACCTGCTTGGCTTATTTTAGCTGTATAATTAAACAAATTTTTAAACTCGCTACCATACATATATGCAGTTGGATCATATTTGCATAATATGCATTTATTTTCCATATTAACAAGCATTTTCAAATTGTTGTTTTACTCACCCATGAATCATCAACAATAATATTTGTCATTTAATGTATGCTGTCTCGAATTTAACAAATTTTTCTTGCAATTGATCAAATAAATTTACTGTGGGAAATAATTTTACATTTATTATCGATTAACTGTAAGTGGAAATTTTTGTCAAAATTGATCAATTTCAGTGGAATAGTCGCATCAATAACAGCCCTCCTCAAGCTTTCATTTCATTCATTTTTTTCTTTTGATGGATTTAGTTTAACAAACTCATTTAAATGGTAAATACTTCAAATTATTTACTTTTTGACTTATATTATGCAAGCGTTATCTGAGGATAAATATACATTATTGGAAGAATTTTTTTTTTCTTTTAGATAGTACAGTTATTCAATTTTATTTTCTATCCTCTTGAACAACAATCCTTTGCTTGAATGATTACTGCTTTTCCAGAAAAAACTCAAAATTTGAACTCACTGGAAACCATCAGTCAAATAATCTGATCTGATTTTGTAAAATAATGTCTTTTTTTCAACCAAAATGACTGAATCAGTGTCATGTGAGTTATAAGTTACTACCACTTAAATCGAAAAAATCGAAATTTATCGATTGAATGAGGAAGATTTACCCATTTTGCTTAATTTACGACAATTTTGTTATCAAATTGAAGGGAAATGACAATGAAGAATCAAACAATTTGGAATGTTGCAAAGTGTGTTATTTCTTTCAAAAGAAAAATTTCTAAAAACGGCGATACTAATAACTCCTTAAAAGTAAACTTATTTGAAATTCAAAAAGAATTTTTAAACTTAAACAATTCAATTTATTTTGATCGTAATGATATATTAACATGAGTCACTCAGTTTTAATAATTATTTAGTTTATTTCATTTAGAAATTCTTCAATTTTATTATACCATGTCTTACTCACTCTCTAACAATCTTTAATTTTTATCCAACATTATTTGATTATGTTAAAGGATTCTTAAATTACTAACTTTCAATAATTGAATTACATTTGTACTAAATTGCAGGTGAATATTACTGATGAGAAAATGTCACATATTGCTTATGTCACCAAAAATCATTTACCGTATTCTTAATAAAGTTCGTAGTTGGATTGCTTCCACATCTGACCAAATATTTCTATCAGTGAAAAATTCTATTCCAGTTAATAGTTCGATATCACGCATTCGAGCTGTATTATCATAGAGATATTCTGAAGGCTCCTGCAAAACAAAAAAAACTTTCTGGGAAATGTGTGACATAATAATAGAATAATAAACTTAATGTAAGAATGAAGCATTGTAATCAGTGTATGCATTTAAAATTTTGAAAACTTTTTTAAAACAAATTCTTAAAATATGCAATATTTTTTATTTTGTAGTGCAATATACTTGCAAATATATTTTGAAAAGCTTTTAATCAGTTAGTGCAAGTCAGAAATAAATCTTATCAAATTGAAAAGATCAGAATTGATCGATCTTTTGATCTTTTCAATTTACAATTGAATTATTCTAAAATGGGATATCATCTTGATTGAATATACTCTGATTTAAAAACTGTGCAATTTCTTCAATATGCATCAATTATCTTACCAAACAATTCAAATTTTTCCCTTTAAGTGGTAATATGTAAGGAATAAAAATGATATCTTTGCATGAAGTATGATCGATCAGTGTGCTATTTTCACACCACATAGGCACAAAGAATAAGTGTGACGGATCACTTTTTCTGAAGTGTCAAAGAAATTTATGAAAGAATAGTATATTTGAATTATGTGATATGAATTTTTCTACAAAAAACGAAGGGATGAATTTAAATCAGAAGATTAATTTTACTTGATGACATCATCACTATCACGTACGCCGTCACCATCTTGATCATACGTTACGCCAGAGAAGAAGCGTAATTTGTCATATTTGGCCAAATATTTAGCTGTTTCATTTAAAACATATCGCCATATTCCTGAAGGTTTTCTTTTTTTTTTTTTTAATTTCAAATTTTGCACTAATTTGCTGCACATTTCTTTTAAAATTATTTTAAACTATTTAAATAAAAAATTTTAATTTTCAATTAAACTAAAAAAATGCTAAATTATTAAAACCAAATAATTAAATTACTCTAAATTATGGCCAATTTTTTCATAACTTACTATCAACAAAAATTTTTGGCACAATCACTCTAGCTAAATCAAGCGTATAATAATGATCTGAAATAAACAAATATAATACAGCAACTAAACGAGTGAAATTGCTAAGCCCTATTGATGATCGAAATTGAAATTACAAACTGCCCAAAAATTGTTTACAGTTTAAATCGGTAATTCGTTGTGCATAATTAGTTTATCCGTTAGATTATTAACAATTTTAGTCTCAGTCAACTTTTGCTTCTTTTGAGATATTTTATACCAAATAATCATTGATGTAAGTTGTTTTATAAGCAATGGAAATTTGCGAGTTACCAAGGTTTCCAAATAGTGAAATTGAATATTTTCCATCTTGTGGAATTTCATATGAATTATTTTGCATGATATCAATGCAAGTGACACAGCTTTCACTGGAACAAATTATTTCAACTTTTATGTTAGAATGCATTTACACCAATTAAAATATACTGCTATGATAAAATCTTACTTTATCTCTTCCAGCCAAATACTATTCTTCATGATACCTTCTATAATAACTGTTTTTTGTAATTTCTTATCGAAATGTATGATTGCGTCACAAAGTTGTATGCTGCAGAGTTCACCCGTAAATTGATAACTAGCTCTGATAGAACTGTTGAATACCGTCATACAATTGAAATAGTTCTCATTCATTAGCTGAATGGTAATAGAAATGTTAGAAAATTATTGGGAAATTGAATTACTAGAATAAATGGGTATATACTTGATCTAAATTTTTAATAAATAATATTTTATTTATAAACCTGATCCTAATTCTTGATGTATCATGTATATTCAAAAATCCCGTCCTGATTCTTGCTATATGATCCTTAAATCTGATCTTGTTTTTATGATATATAACATCAGAAACAGAAAGAAAAACATGTACAAATCAATGATTTCAACTCAATTTCTAACAGTGATATTGATGATTACATATCAGGCTCATAATTTCTATTAAATAAGCATTAAATCAATTAAAATTTTTGAAAAGCTTTTATAGATTATATAAAAAAAAAATTACCGGACAATCACACGAAGATTTACACTTTCTTATCTTTATCTCATCAGTGCATTGATCTGTTTGTTGATCCAGAGCCGTTATCGGTAAAGCTGGAGGATTGCGAAGTACAGGGAATAGAGTACCGTTGGTTCCATTATTTGGTGCTGCATCAATTCGTAGCAAATCTTTATGAAAGATCGATCATGAAAAACTTTATTCGCCGAAATTAAAAAAAAATGTTTGAATAATATAAATTACAGTTTTAAAATACCACTCCGCAATGAAAATACCCTCTCTCACCTTCTATCATATGATTCTGTTATAATTCACCACATTCCAAAAGCCTGATAGGCTCTTTTTTACTCTACCTAAATTCATTTTAATTTCTAAGACGAAAAACATACATGTGAATAAGTTATAAAGCTCAATATTCTGAAAGCTATTGATTTTCCGATTTTGTGCAATATCAGGACCAATAGCGATAAAGATTGTCCGCATGCTAACAATTCGATTATCATAGCCATGATCGCCAAGACGATTATACGATTCTTTCTTTTCATCCGTTCTAAATGTTAAAAATATTTTTTGCATTTTTTTATGATAGTATTTTGAATATATTTATAAATGTGGAATGCATAATTAGCAAAGATAATTCAGCTCACTTTAAACTAATTAAAAAGCAAACAGCGAATTGCATACATATTTAATTAGCTTATTTGTTCTGAACTTAACAGCACACTGTTTTGCAGTATTATTTTCATTTATGACAGATTTTAATTCCCCCACCTATAATACTTTAATTTCTAATTGTTGATTGGATAACATTTAATTGGTTAGTGTTATTAGTGCTATAATAGGGATTCATGTAAATATATCATCAAATATTTAACAGTAATATAATTCTCGGCAAAAGCACATACTGAAAAATGCACACTCCCGGTCGTCCCTTAATGATAACATCGCCCATTCTTAGTGAACCGGCATAATGAAACCTTATTGGCACCAAATCCTTTCTGTATGCTATGTAACTATTTCCAGACTGACATTCCATTGTTGAAATTATATCATTGATAACATCATCTGTACCTAAAAAATCATCGGAGAGAAGCATTTTTTTTTATTTTAAGAAATATTTTTTATATAAAAATAAAACAGTTTGAGAAATTTTTCACTAAAAAAAAGATATTACTGTTTCCATCGGATGAATTAGTTTTATAGCTGATTTGAATTCGAGCTGTTGTTCCAGAAAAAAATTTATTATCAAAGTTCTGTTCTGAATAATTTGTGGTGACTACAAACTTTGTCTTATCCATTTGTTGCATACCTGATAATAAAAAAAAAAAAATTAAATGATACTATAGTCATAGATAATTTTACACAAAAATATTTACAGTAATTCAGATGTATCATGATAATTATAAGAAAAGTTTTACAAACTAAAATGGCATCGATCTATTGATAAAAGGAAAAAAAAACGAAGAAACATTGATAAAATTTACAAATGCTATCATGAGGTTTTTTGTGACAAATATCAGATTAGTGGGACAGATTTAAAAAAAAAAATATTTCAATATTTCTTCTTTCTGTGAAAAAATAATGTTTCGAAGTTACTAGAAGTTTGAAATTTTGAAGAAAAGTAAACCATGATCAGAAAGCAAAATGAGATTAATGCAGCCCATGAGCTTTTCCTCAAGTAATCGTCTTATCAAATAATTAATTACTCCATCCATTAGGATCAATGCATCGTGAACCTTAATATTAAAATATAATCAATTTATATTTTTAATTAAATTTGATTTTATTTAATTAAATATAATCTGACTTGTATCAAATTCATCTACTTTATTTGGTTCAAACTAGCTAAATTAAAAATCTTGTTCATTATTATTCTCCTAGGACTGAAAATGCACTATCTTAAATAAAGTAATAAATTCAGCAAAGTTACTGCTTGCGAATCCGGTCCATGTTTATGTCCTGAAACATCAGGTTCTTCGAAATATGCTTGAATAAGTGATGGCCGTTCATCATCCGGTAGCTTTAGCCATTTAATTACCTGAAATACAAAGAGTTTTCTTTCTATGTTTAACTTACCAAACAATTTACCAGAAAATTATTGACATAATAATTTATATGGTTGCAAATTGTGAATGTTTCTCATGAAATTATATTAAATGTATAAAAAGTAAATTTTCGGTCTGTTAAATTAGTTACAAAAATAAGTCACATTTCCAGTAGTAATGACAACAGTGAAGAGAAATTAGATTAATTGTAAAAATTTAAATAATTGTTAAATTAAAACAATATGAAAACGAAGTGATAAAGGAAAAGAAACAGAGAAAACAATCGCTGCTAAGTTATCTATCAGTAATTAATTTACTTATCTATCAGTAATTAATTTACTTACTGTATCAATGCGGTGTCTGAATGGAGTTGAGCTGTTGTATTTCATCCAGTAATTGGGCAATTTTTCTAAAATATCTTTTTTTGCAAATTTTGAAAAGATGAAGGGAAAAACTGAATGACACCAGTAAGATTAAGGAAAGAGTTAGCATAAAATAGTTGGGATCAATTAAAAGGTATAATATGTCTATATTTGTCACTAACATTTTTTTGGAATACCATTAAGTTTTCTAATTTATTGCAACAAACTAAATATCCAAAGTAATTTAAAAAGTGTTTAGTTTTATAATTTACCAATAACTTCAATAGTCTATCCTTGAACAAATTGTAAGTAAGTGACAAAGTTTCTGCAGTCATATTTATGGTTCAAAACTTATTTCTTACCTAATTCCTCACTTCCAGGCCAAAAAAATACTGCTGATTTTAGGCCAGCTTTTTGTGCTGTTTTCCATATCTGAACTATAATTTTAATAGACAGGAAGAAATAAAGTTATTCATAATGCTTTATCAACACAAACATAATGCTTATCAACGTATCACTAAAAATTAAATCTTGTGAAAAGCAAATTACAAAAAAAAAGAAAAGAAAAATGGTGTTTGTGGATAATTTTTGTAGATTAAAAATAAATCAAAAAAAAGGCATTTACCGGTTCACCAAGGTACCAACCAGGTTTGTTAGTACTTTTCTTGAAGAAAGCCTGAAATGTGTAGTGTAATTGAAAAGAAATATAGCATTAAAATTAGCAAAGTCTTATCTTATGAAGTTAATCAATTATAGCTATTTTATGTATTAGTAGAGACTTCAAAAAACAATATGTTGCGTGTTCGTACGTAAATACTAGTGAACTTTTCTTTATTCGAATGTAAAATAGTTATTTAAATGTGAAATAATAAATGTTACTTTCAGTTTTATATCATAGAAACGATTATCAATGATTCCGTGCCAGGCGGGATAAAGTCCGGTTGCTATGGTGTAATGGTTAGGAAAAGTCTTAGAAGGAAATGTTGGTAACATATATTTACTGTGGGTGCCATAGTTTATCAAACGTTGAATTGATGGTGTAATATTGTGCTCCAAATAGCTGTTTCGGAAACCGTCGAAACTAAGGATAAGTAGTGGTGTTTTATTAAATCTATAAAAAAATAACTAAATATTTCAATAATATTCATATATTGCAATAACTGAAATTATTTCATCAATAGATTTTCTGCATATTTGTTAATTGTTAGCTATTTGTAAAACTAGCAAATAGTAGAGAAGAAGCAAATATAAGAAAGTATTGGCATTCTAAAATATTAATCCTTTAACAATGTACCACTAAAAACTTGCTCACTTCTTTTCGCATATATCTAAACTGCAATTATTAGAACTTTGCGTATTTGCATCACCGTCTGAAAGTTTAGTCGAGATTGTGCGTATACAACCGAATATGATGATAACAGTAATGAAAAGTGATAGTATATATCCGGCAGAGAAGAGTGTCACTTTCGGCAATTTAACATTATACCGCTCTGTTGAATTCGCCGAAATATATTCCTTTAAATTACAATTATCATTTCTTATGTATGTTTTCTGAAAGTGTTCATAAATTGCCCTTGACAAGAAATAAATGCTCTTTTTTTTTGCTTTTAAATAATTAATTTCTTTTGACAAATAATTCTTCTCATGTGAATTCCTGATTCATTATTAGAATTTAGGAAAAGAAATTTTGTTTGTAACTGAAATGAATGATGAGCTGTGCAGTGCTAGTACAAAATAAATTAATTAGAGTAAGAAATATTACTTAATTCAGTAGTTAATATAGAAAAAATACTTCAAATATTGCTAATTCATGGGTAAAGAAATTAGGAATTAATGAAATGCTTTTTATGTTCAACAGGTAAATCAAGTTAAAAACCCCTGTTTTAAAAGACACAATATAGTTCATGCAGAATTTTATATGCTGCATTCATTAAATTAGCAATCTCAAAAATCAAGATCAAAAAATTATTAAAAGTAATTTATTTAACATATTACATAATTAACAAACTTTCAATTTAACAAAGTTTCATAAAATATGGAAAGGAAAAAATTGAAAATGTTTTCTTACAAGTTAAAACACAAATTAGTCAGATGTGTCAAATTCACTTCTACAAATATTGCATATTCTATTTTTAAAATTTTTTTACAGCGATGAAAATAAATTTCACTTTTTTACCTTAGGTGTAACTGTAGTCATTGTTTGTTGGCGACTGAAAATATGTTTGGCAGTTTTCAGAGCAGCACAGTATTTATTATCGAATTATTTGACAATTATCATTGCTAAAATTTTTCAATAATCCATTGTTGTGTTACTAAAATTAAAAAATGCTATTCAAACAAAAAAAATTTGGTTTTCAATAACAACACAACAAGACAAATTTGAATTTGATGAAAACATTCACAGCAAAAATTTTGCCAAGTTTTTACATTTTAACTAAATTCAAAAACTAATTTATTAAAATAAAGCGGGCGAATAGATTAATTTGTTAATAAGAAATATAATATGGAACATCATCACCGATAGTTTACTCACTATTGATAATTTCTTGATAAAAATGTTGAAAATGGAAAAAATTACACAATTCTGCACTAAGTCAGTACTTTCTTTCTTTTCTCTTTTGCTGCAATTTTTTTTAATGGCAATAAATTTCTTTAATTTACCCTGTAGTCACCTTAGTGACTACTTTGAAATGCTATTTCAAACACACTTGGAATTTCGAACTAATTTTTATTTAATGCAATTTTCTTATTTTTTTTCCTTTAGAAATTACAATTTGAAAGATTAAATTATTTATAAACTCCCATTTCAATACATTAATGGATCTTTTTAATTACTTTAAAAATTTTTAATATTATTAAAACATTAATTTGATAATGGACTAAAATAAGTTTGTATTCACTGCAATATAAATATTAAAATATGTTGGAATTTAAACTTTTTATTAAATTTAATATTTATCTATTTCACATTTATCAATGCGCGTCTTCACTGAATCACCTCTCTCACTGAAGTACACTTTCACTCGCTTATTTTAGCACTTCCGCCAATAAGCTATCATTTTTAAGTTTTGCTTTTTTACTTATTTTATTTGGTGAGTTGCCTTCCTTGCTTTTTCATTTTTTTTTTTTAATTTTACTTATGTTTCTTGACAAAGAATGGAATGTTCACCCTTTTTGTTTTACCTAAAAATTTGAAATGCATATGATATATTTGAAGTGATTTTTCGATTTAGAATTTGTTGATAATTGACGTAAATTAAAGATGAAGCAATCATAAATTTTTGAAAACAGAAGTGGAATATAAATTTAGAAATACATGAGTAACATAATAATATATGAAATGAACTTAAGTCATTTGATTTCTTCAGTTGTTAAATAAATAATGAGTTAATGTCAAAGTACTAATTAAGTAGATGAATAATTTATACACTTTTCAGGAGCTCATATAATATTTAAGTAAAAGCAATGATCGAAATTTATGCAAAAAAAAAATCCAAAATTTCCAAGTTGTCAAATGCATAATTCAAAAGGCAAATGTGAATTACATATCACTGTCAAATTGCTTTGATACGAGTCGTCCGACAAATTTAAAAAGAGACTAAGGCAAACATATTAAATGCTATGTGCTAGTTGTAATAGCGAGTAAAATGTAAGTGAAATAAGCGAAAATGTGATGAAACATTTCTTAAAATATTGTGACACTTTTGATGATTCCCATTCACTGCTGTCATTTGTTGTAATCTAACAAGGCATAAAGTAACTTTAGCTAAAGGATGTTCAAAAAATTTAGTAATTAAAGCAAGTAGATCTGCTAAAGAATTAGCATTTTATAAGACTAAGAAGATATTTCCGGCATTTTGAATTACAAAACTGATTTGCAGTTTTTTTTTTTTTTAATAAGAATTAATATGAAAGAATTGAAAGAATCTATTTTGGTTTATTTTTGCTTAGCATTGTTGTTGTTGAAATTGTCGTGTGATGCTATTTGGATTCGAAATTGAATTTGATTCATACAGACGTGTCATAGCTTTATTAATTGCGACAAAATTTAGAGGGAATTTTGTTGTTTCAAAAAATTTCTCATCCAATGTCTTTTATTCCTTTAATTGGACTGCAATCTGAGATCGTTTCATAATTTTTATTTCATTCAGCTAACTCAATTGTGGCTGTATGATTCACAAAAGCATTCAAATTCTGTTATCTTTTTCTTCGCTTACTTTAATAAATATAAAAAAAAAAAAACATTTCAAAAGATAATTTATTGTGATAAGTTTGAGGAAAAACCCAACGTAGTGATAGCTTCTTTAAATCATTCATATGACCTTACCGTAAATAAATAGGAAAAAAGAATTCTGCAAAATAGCTTCATAACTGAAGATTTCATGCGATATTGCTGTTATCATTAATTCAGTCAGGTCAGTTCGTGAAATTAGCAGCAGTGTATGCCGGTGTGTTTTAAGAATTCCGTTTAATTCAATGGAAAAATATGAATGACATAAAGAAATGTGAATACTATAATGAAGCATGCAAGCATATCGGGTGATGTAGGAATTAGACAATTTTATCTTTTATCAATTATCATATCACTCTCCGAATAAGGAATGACTCAAAAATACTTTTTCACTTCAACGTGTCAAAATCGGAAAGCTATGCTATCTGCGCCGACTATGCATCATTTTTCGCATTGATGTGTTTAACGCAATGCAGACTTTTTTAAGTTTTGTTTACTCATAATACTACAACATAACTCCATTACTAGGTTATCAATTGTTGAAGCATATATTTAAGCTTTTGAGAATTGCGCAAATTAAATATGAAATCAGTCGGGCATTTTATTTAAATTTATAACAGCAAAACTGGATTATTAGCATTTCTCATACTACGCCATTTCAGTCTTCCACGAAATTCTTCAAAATGAATTTTGCAAAATCAAATTTGTTATCGCTTTCCACCACGAATGAGCTATCAGTAACCTGAAATTGCATATAAAGAAGTTGTACTTACTTCATGACCTTTAGTTACTTAAGCGAACCATAGTTGTGAACAATTATCTCTTTAGAACTTTTGATTCCTTTGTCATATCGGTTACTCACGCATTACTGGTGCTTCCTAATGATTGTAATCAATCAAAATTTAATATTAACAATCGTTTCTTTCAGAAAAATTCGAGAAATTGTTGTCGATATCATAACAAAAGAATTCGAAGATTTCTTATTTCTTCAACCTTTGAAAATTGAACCTTTACAGTAACCTTTTCTTTATAATTTATTTTTTGAAATCAATAACCACTGCTAAGAAATTTGATTCTACTTACAAAGGATGCGATAGCTATTAAACTGATCAATTTTCTACGCAAGCCTTCATCGAAAAGAAAATAATAGTCCTCTAATGTATTATGTTTGATTATCCTTTCTCGAGCTGTGAAATGGAAGATTTATTTGCATTTTATTGCTCTTTCTTTGATAACAAAAATTTAGCGTATTGTTCTCATATTTCAAAATTTTTGTGTTTAATTATGTCAAAAGCTGTCTTCTCTATTTCTCAAATGTTTTCATGTTTTATAAGTTCGATTGTTGAAAAGCTTGAAGCAGTCATAATTTTAATTCTCGACTTATTTCCTGAATGATTTTTTGTTGCGGCGCACAGTTCGAATATCGCTGCTTCAGAGAGGCCAGTACTTCCATCAGCTAAATATAGCTCGTTATCACATTATCTTGAAATATTCTACTGAACTGATAAGTAACTCTGCTGAGATCTTACAGAATCAAACCTAATGATAGAATTGTGTCTCATTTGTAATAGTTGTGATGGATCTAATAGCAACGTTACCATTTCGACAACAATTTAAGATACTGGACAGGTGCCATTCTTATTTTAAAATTTGTTTACTTAGATTGTGTTGTTATTGTTGTTGTTGCCAGCTTTGCTATTCTTTTTGCTTTTGCTGCTTGCAGTATGTCTCGTTTATTATATAGCATTTTGATGTGTACTGGACCAGCACTAATCCCATTCAATTCATTCGCGAATAAAATTAAATGACAAATACTGAATCCACCAAGCAATTCCATAATAATTTTCCAGCTGTGCATTGTTCTATTGTTTAGAATGTTTGCAAGAAGATAATTTTTCCCTCTACAAAGTTTCACTGAGAGACAGATACTCAGTGTAAAGATTATTTTTATTCTAATTTATGAATCAAATGTTCGCTGATGAAGGAAAGGATGAGAACTGTTTTATTGCTCAGTTAAATAGGAATTTGTTTGATAATTTGATATCTAAATCTCACAATAATTACTGTACATATTTTAATCTTTATTTTCTTATCAATTATTACATTACTTCACAACGATGCATCGAAATCGAAAGACGGACGACTCTATCAATACGAACTATGCACCATTTTCCTTTCTAAAATGATGCATCAATTGTTATCAAACATTTGTTTTGTCGATTCAAATTATAAATTCATGAAGTGCTCAAGCAAAGAAATAGGAAACTGGAAGTGGCGGTAAATGAAAAATTTGGAAATGAAAATGTTACACTGTTCGACAAAATCCTCTACAGTTCTTTATAAAGATTTCCGGAACTTTTTTTCATTCATTAGCATTTGCTTAATTTTGTTCTATTGAATTTTCGTTTTTTGTAGTCATTCAGAAAGCTGGACAACCAATTGTATTAAATGAAGCCAGACAATAACTGTCTGCATAATAATTTATCTATTCTTATCGGAATTTTTCCACAATTTTGAATAAATCACCACTTACCAATGTTTTTTTACTTCATGACAAAGTGAGGTAAATAATTTAAGAAACACGAAATCAAAAAAGCAAAATTCATAGGTAAAACCACAATGATTACCTTGCAAGCCAACCTTCCATTGTCAACTTCATTTCAGTATACATTCATCCATTTGTTATGCGGTGGAGACGCAAACAGTTCACAGATTGAATTGACCTTCGGCAGATTTCCAGTGGAGACATTGGAGTGCATTGATCATTAAATTAGCTCTTCAATGTTGTTTGAAGTTGTATGATTAATAATGTTTTGATAGTGGTGATGTTCTTTAAGGCTGCCTTTATAAATTTCATTGCAAGTAACAATGGAAGGTTGGGTAGTGTTAGTTCGTGGGTAATTAGAGAATGATGCTTCGGATGTTACGATCAGCGACATCATGCATGCTTTGACATTCCTGCAGAGAATCAATCTAAACATAAGACAGATATCTGCCTTTGCCTTTTTTTTGTCACATCGAAATAATCGTTCTATCGCGGTTAGCCAACAGCGTAGAGCACGTGAATAAACGTTGGCTAAGCCACCGCTTCTAGACCCTTTCCCATATAAAGAAACAATGATGATTTAAGAAAGGGTTTGGGTTCTTAGTCTACCACCTCGAACATTAATCTCGAATAGCTAATGTCTTCGACCCCCTGCATGCAAGATTAGGCCTGTTGATTCCAGTACATCTTATCACCTCTCATTTTTGTCTCTCGTTTTTCGCTATAGAGATTTGTGAAAGCGGATCCTTCGAGCTTGTACAAAGCTTTTTAAACGAATTTGCCCTAAAGTGCATTCTTGGAAAATTATTATGGCTTTGGTGGATCCAGTATTTTCCACTTAACTTTATTCATTTGTGATTAATTTGAATAGGAATTAGTGCTGGTATGATTCACAGCAAATTCAATATAATGAAAAAAACCGAATGACAACATTCAAGGGCTCATTTAAATATCAATAGCCCCACTGTCTCCGGTGGAAATCTACAGACAGGTCATTTCAATTGTGTTATTTACGCCTAAATTGCACGATAAGTTACATATTGTCTTCTCAATATATATATGCTCCAACATTTCAGAACGATTCCAAAAATAACAAATCCTACATCGACTTGACGCCAGAGAAACATTGCAATGACTGAAAATTTTTAGATCACTGAGGGTGAAAGATTCACATCTGGCATGTAAACATCTCACTGCACTTAACTTTTTTATACCTTAACTTTTTGTATCACAATCGTACCTCTTTTCTTCACTGCACGACTATAGCTAATGAAAAAATCAAAAAAGGAAAACTTTAACTGTCACGTCTTATCTAAATAGAGAATTTGAAACTCATGCGTAGAGGAGAAGTATCATAAAAACAAGTCAAATTGATAATATCTAGCATAATGCATGCATACCTGCTATATATATGTATGTAACAAGTTATAATTAAGAGGAATAGTAATGTTCGACCCACTCATCTTCACCTCATCTAAATTCTCCAAATACTCCAAATAATGTTATTCCCTCTCACCCTAAATGTTTAAGATGAACAAAAATACTTTATTTCTGCATCCTACAATAGTTTTAACTCAAATTAATTCTAATTTATAATGAGATAATTTTCCAAAACAAAATCACCCAGTAAACCTTTGAAAGTATTTCAAGATCACACAGCTCTACAGATGAATAAAGCAAAGAATAAGAGATACTGATTTTACCCGACATAATCATACGAATCACGAAAATACAATACAGTTAAACCTAGTAATAAGAAAAACTCAGGTATTGCTGCAAGTGATCAACTTAGAGGATTCTTCACTATTATTTCTTAAATGGATTTTTCTTGCTGAAAATTCTCAACAGCTTCGATTGCAGCTTCTTATGCAGTATCATCGTCGTCGTCCTCAATAAGATCAATATTTTCAATATCCTTTTCCGTATCGGAATCTGATTCAGTATAATTACTAACAGAATTTTGCAGCAATTTATTATAAGCTGCCAGAAATAGTTCGACTTCATCTGATACCAATGAGGCCATAGCGCGCTGAAAAAGACGTAACTAAATCAAGTCAATTAAATAAGTTTTAAAAGCTGCACCAACTTGAATTATTTACAAACCCAATATTCAAGGATTTTCAGCTAAAGTTTTTCTAAAGGCATAAATTTTACTCCAGCATATTAAAGAAACTATAAGAAGTTCATAAGTTATATTTAATCCAAATGTAATACTGACATAATTTGAGATTAGCAAAAAATGCTCATTGACATATTATAGTCGGCAACCAACAATGCTCAAATAATTGCAGTTATGAAATGAAATCACCTGGCAAAATATAGCAACAATTCGGGAAGTTTTTCAAACACTTCAAGCTACTTCAAAGACTTAGCTTACCCTATGAATTGTTTGTAACGTGAGTGGCTCATATTTCAACATAAAATTCGCATAGTCAATCCAACATTCGTGTGCCTTTCTTCCAAATTCTACAATCATTAACTCAAAAGCCTGTGCAACAAATTCGATTGACATTTGCTTTGATTTTAATTCAAGCTTGATAAATGTTTCAATACTGATGAACTTCAATGCTGAAATAAAATTTTAATAACTCTGCTAGAAAAATGGACAATAAAAAGAATTTTTATTTCGTCAATTAACAAAGTTAGGAAAAGTGGAAAGTGGATGAATAGATTGTCCAAGACGTGCTATTACATCGTAAAGAAACTAAATAAAAATCTTTTTTTAAAGAAATCGAAAACACAATAAACTCAACAATCAATTAGATTCCATTTTCAAAATTGAGAAATTTGTGGTGGTTTGGCAGTGAAGCAGACTGCAAATAATTGACAAACTACAAAATATTGGGAATTCATTACCTGTTTGGTGGATGTTTTGCAAACAGGAAATATTCTTCCTTAGTTTATTAGGTCTATCATGATAAACAGAAGCCATGTAACTGAAAATTATTATTAGTCACTGGAGGAGAAATTTCAATTATCAAACATACTGTGATGCAGCTTTGAAGCACTGCTTCTCTAACTTTTGCTCTCTCATCTTTTCTCTTCTCAATCACTAACAATATTAATCATTGTTTACTACTATCACTCAGTTGTTCACTGTTATTAAATCTCAATAACTGAAAGGCAAAAATAAAAGGTCATTCAATGTCTCTTCACACTATCAAAGGAATAGAGGCAGAGACCATCTAGGCTATTAAGAAACTAAATTACAACAGAAAAATCCCTACTTCAAACGAACACATCGCATTTGACATGCAACTTTCGGTGTTGTACGAAAAGTAGCTTGTCTGAAAAATCATCCACATCATCTTCCGAGTATTGATGCGCCCAATCGATGATTACTTTGTACATGCTAGCAAGACCATAACTTCCATCATATGCCTTAAACAGTTAACATGTTTGACAATTCGAAGCAATACTACTACCTTATATTATTAAAATATCCAAGCAGCAACTAATATTCAAAGCTATAAAAGCTTAAGTTATTTCAGATGCTACAGCATTACTAAAGACTTCATCAGTGTATTTCTTTTATTTACCACACTTGCATTTATCCTCAAAAATGACACTTCTATGGATCGACACAAGTACACAAATCTGACAAAAGACTGACGATTCCGTCAACTTGACTCACCGATTGACGGTGATTTAAAGAGATTAACGCAGAAAGCATTTTTGAAAACCTGTAGCATCGTTTAATGAAAATATAATTTTCATGAAAACACTAAGACACTTTCCTAGTTCATCGTTCTAAAAAATGTCAAATATTTTGAAAAAGCATACTTCTCGTGTTGCTTTATTGAACAATTTACGTATCGTTTCCACATCTGTCGGGTTGGATTTTTTTTGCACTGCAATAACATCATCCATAAAAATGCATTTTCCGGATTGTTTTCACTGCCTCATCCAAACTTTCTTTTCTTCGGAACTTTCTACCAGCATTGAATTTTCTAACATCCATATCTGTCCCTATCCTCTACTAATCAACCAGAAAAGCTGTTCACGAAACTTCTTTGCATCTGCATCACCTTAAAGTAGAAAATATGACTTTATTGCACTTAACTATATACAAAAGAAAAAAAAAAACAGATTATGAAACACAGATTATGCCAGGCAAAAAAATGATACGTGATGATGAATAAGATTAGATTAAGTTTTGCTCTTCGAAATGAATATATTTTTATAAATATGATATGTCTAAAATGCTAATTTTCTCCTACAAACTGGTCTGAAAATGGATATTGTTAAGCTACTTTACGCAGAAGATTCAGTGTTGCTGCAATATAGCATCGAATAAAAAAAATGCAGCTATTTAAGTCTAAAAGAAATGACACACTTTATCAAACAATTCGTAGAGAGAATAACTAATCATCATATGAATAATGTCTTTGACAAAGAGTCAAATAATGTCGATGCATCCTTTCAGTTGGTATATCCGCACAAGCTTTGTCAAACAATTCGTAGAGAGAATATTGGTCCTAAAAAAGGACTTCTTTCATTTAATCCCGGAAAATGTCGATTTTCTCATTATATGATTATCGCTGTGACAAAGTAATAAAAATAAAGCAGAATAACATTATCACATAAGTCCAAAGAACTAAGGTTCATCTTGAACATCAAATATATGAAATTAAGAATCCAGAGCAAATCTTGAAGTCAACTATAGAGTTTTTCATATTTATATCTTCTATTAAACAAAATTCTAAACGTATGCTAAAGCATAGTGATGAAATGAAGCCCATTTATCACGTTCCAATACTTTCCATTGAATAAAAGCATCGATGCAAAAATGAAACTTACGTAATTCATTAATTCCGATTTTGCAATCCAACTTTCTTCACTTTTATACTTCGGCGTCCATAACATATCATACAATTTTTCTACCAGATGACATGCCACCAGACCATATTTCTTCATAATTCTCCAAAAATTCAGTAGCATTGCTATCACATTGACAATTGGACCTAACCAACATATTCGACCATAAACTGATACTGAAATTCAATCATAATCTAACTGGAAGGTCGTGTTTCTTATCCTGATTCTTTATGACATTCAATTTCCAAAAATGGTGAATAATATCTTGCAACCAGTAAACTATACAGATGAGACCAACCACTTCGTCCTGAAACGCAACATTTCAAGGCCTCATTAATGATTGTTTCAACGACTCGAAGACTCAAAACTGCATCCTGTCCACTTTTTTCTTTTATATTTACTTTCATTTCTGGAGTTTTCTGCGCTTCAGCTGTCACTTCCAGTTCTTTCTCCTCAGTACATAGCAGATGATAATCATCCCTTTTCCCGTCAATATACTCTTTCGAGTAATCAACCTGAAAACAATTTATTGAATAAATCCTTAAGCACATTTTAAGAGTTTACAGAGTCACTGTCTAAGAAAAAGTCTATATGTCAACTATAAAGTGTTTTATTCAATCCTCCTACTTTCTTACTTACGTTATTAGTTTTAAATTAATTCTCAGTGGGAATTTCTGAAAATCATCATCAACCATTTGACATGATCTAATTCCAGGTGAGCAAAATTCGTCCATAAACTGCATTCCGTAGGATTCAACCGAATCGCCCCTCTGCATCATACAACGTGCGCACTCTATTCTATGTTCGACTGAATATTCAAATCGAGCCGCTTGAATTCGTAAAGCAGAATTCCTTGGAAAGAGCTGGAACATATAATTTCATAAACTGGAACATATAATTTATTTGACTTATATTCTGATCAGTCTAATTAAGACCACGTAATAAAAGTAATCATTTCTGACGCCGTGAGTAATTATTTACTTTCACGAAGGCCTAATTTTAATTCGCACTTTACAAATTTACTAACCCTTGATTCTGCCCTTACAAAAAGAGATTCCCTCCAGAAACTTACCTGCATTGCACGGAAATACGCTTTACTGCATCGGATATACATTTTTTCTTCCTTCAAAAATCCGATCAAATCAAACCAAAGCTCTGCCCGTCCCTGCAATCAAATGATCAGAGAAATGTCAATATTTTCATATTAGGTTTGTTAGGTTTCTCTGAACATAAATTGCACGTCATTTGAAAATATGAAGTTAAGTTAATATCAAAATATCAGCTATCATTTCAACAAATTATCGAATTTTTTCAGTTTTCAAAATTTGGCAGACATACCTATATTATAAAAAAGACTACACCAAAGTATACTCCTATTAAACAAAAAATGAAAAACCTGAAATCGTTCACAACACTGTCGCAGCAGATTGGCAACTTTGATGATGATTTTGCCTTCAATTTCATCTTCTCTCAACCTGTAATTCAATCGTTTCCGTCGCATTCAAACAAGCTTCATAATCGATCCCAAATAATCGGTATATCCTTTGAACGACGATGGATCTTTCCGCTGAAAATAATACGCATTGATTGGTACTTTCACCAAACACTAAATGATGCCAATGTTATAAAATTCCAATGAGTACCCAAAAATCAACTCTCTCTTGGACATTTGACGGACATACAGCATCAACTTATATTAATACTTCAGGCTTTACACTGCGACATTTAAGCATTTCCACTGCGAAATCCAAACTAATTTAACAAATCCTGACAAATCCAGTAAGAAAGTCATTGTGATTAATAGTATAGCATAAGTTAAATTGTCGAAGAAAAAGTTCTTACAGGCTTTTGAAGACGATATTCGAAGAACTGGCAACGTTTGACAAATGCATCAATTTCAGTAGGTGATAATAACTGAACATCTCTTAATGTCTCGAAAACAGGAAGCAAACCTTCGATATCTTCTTCCACAAATTCACTCATTCTTCACCCAGTGATCGGCACAAAAAAATAATTTCGTATTATTCTCGAAAGAACTACCACTGAAATTACCTCATATAAGAAAAAGTAAAGATGATCCTACAAGTTACTGGTTATGCATAGAGCAAGATTAATCCTATTTGAATCATTTTGATAATTTCAATCATTATCTAAGCAATTCTGGATTATCAACTAAAGTAAAGACAATATTTTAATAACATTTATTAGATTATATTTATGACGTTCCCGTGGAAAAATTTCTCGGATAAATTCATTTATTGCTCTATAAATTATATATTAATGAATGAATCTAGACATTACCACACAATACAAACACCCCACCGAACAATATACGACCAAAACCAACAAAACACTACCACACCATTAACCCCTCAATTCCAACATTAAACTAAAATCCCTCAAATGCAGTTATATCTACGCTTATTTTTGAATTTAACGCTGTCCATTATGCTCTGAAAGCATCTCCGAAACTCTTCAATTTTATATAATTCTTCCGATCACTAGTATAAAGGGTTTATTAGGTTTATTATAGGAAGGAACTGCATAATTGAAGGGTATATAAGTAAATAGTATAACGGAAAATATCATGCCAAAATTATGAATTTGTTTGCGTGATTACGAGAGATCACGGATATATTACGTGATTATAAGCTGACGTAAGTGGTTTTTTTAACACAAGTATTTATTTCTCTTTTAAATCATTTCAGTTTCTTAATATTGTGATTTCAATGTGTTGAGAATGACTTCTAATAGTACACTATCAGTAATAATTTAGCGCTATGTGAACTATACATGAAAATTTCATGATTCGGATTCAAAATTTTTATAAACAAATGTAACTTAGATTAACGCTGTTAATATTGTAATAGAAATTCTGGATTTTAACATAAGTTTATTTCAGTTCACAATTCATTGATTGCATTATCACAAGTAAAGTTGTAAGTTGGTTAGAAAATCATATGGTATATCAAATACATCAGCAATTATTAAAATTATCATTATTATTTAGTATATAGAAGTGATCTGTTAGCTAGAGTGATGATGTGTTAGAATCAGTCTTTGATATTCCCTTTACCAGAATTTCATTTCGTCTTTGTCATCAATTCTACAACTTTATCGGCGGTATGTAATTCTTTGATTACGCTTCATTCCTCTTCTTCGTCTGTAATTATCGCGAAATATCGCTTGGTGGAATTTTTGCTCAGAATCTGTTTCATCCGATTCGTTCCAATCATCATCATCATCCTCACCATCATCACTGTCATCGTCATCGTCGTCGTCGTCCAATACATCATATTTGTTCCTATTCTAGCTTTAGTTATAATTTCTTGTCTGTTTTTTAATGAAGAAATATTAATTTCGTATATTTGTACGTTCGCATCGACGTATATTTCATCTACGTTTAGCACGCAAACGTAAAATATTACGTAGAATGATTTGTAATTCTTATTTCTGTATTAAAATTTTTAATTTTTTAAGAGTTGTAATCTTATTATCAAAATATTATAGTTTGTTAATTTTCGTCTATTTGATAACTTGCTGCTAGTATTTTCGACTGTTATTTCGTTGCTATCATCATAATTATCACTAGTTGTATCACTTGTTGAATATAATTTACCCTTTTCATTACTATAGTCTCCTGATTCACTTTCCGTATCCGAATCACCATAAGTGTCTTGAATAAGCGTTGATTCGGAATTTCTAATTTTGCTGCATCCAGTTTCTGTTTTCGTATTACCTTGCTCCAAACATCCGCTTAGATGACAATTCGATAGTTGACAAATATCAGTCTCATTCTTTAATTGTCTTGAACTACTACTACCAGCTTCTTCTGAACGTGAAACATTTAAGTTTGTTTGTTCTACAAAATGCTGTGCATTTTCTGGTTTGTTTTCGCAGAATGGACAAAACCAGTCATTTTCCGGGATTCGCTCCAGTTTCTCCGGTAAGCAGTAGCAATGATATGCAACATTACAGCGAATCGCAGAACCATCAGCATTTTGACCAATGTTTCCGTCGCAGAGTAGCAGTAAATGTTCATTATCTGAACTTCTGCATGATCGACAGTTTGCATATTCAATGGTAATATCTTCATTTGAAGGGCCGCCATGATCATTTTCCAGTTGTTCTTGGACAAGAAGCTTGAAAATTCAAAAATTTTGCAAAATTTTAAGCAAAAATGAAAAAGGATTTCAAAATAATTAACAACAAATAATATGGTAACATTGTTAATTCTTTATAGAATATGTTGCAACAAATGATTGTAATATTTCTTTTTTCTGAAAATTTAGAACAGAATTATGTCAAAAGGGATAAGACTCTAAAGGATAGATTTGAAATTTAAATTTTTTAAAAAATTAGAATGAAGCTTGAAAGAATTCTGTTTATACAGAATAACATTATGAATTTTCACCTTTCCTCCAATTTAATCAAATTTCTTCTGATTTAAATGCTTAATTTTAACTGCTTGGTAAATTCTAGGTTAAAAATTTCATATATGGTCCTAGACTAGAATCTTTACATAAAGAAAGGTAAACTGGAATATTTTCATGACCGTGTCCGGAAAAATTGTTTAAAATATTTAATTAATCAAACAAAGGACCATTTCACTATAATAATAATAATAATCATGTTAATTAAATTTAAAAAAATTAATGATATAGACAATCAAATTAAAATATTTCATAGTGATGATATATTAATGATAACATTGATAATATTAGTAACAGTGATAACCTCATTTTCAAATTGTTCCTTTGTTCTTTTTTACTGGCATTTTTGTTTCATTTTTGTTTCTTCAATTTTAATTAGATATTTTGGCTCTCCATCACAAAGTGGGCATTGTGATCGCTTTTTAACCAATCGCGAATGCATTTAAAACAGAATTTGTGCTTACAATTATCAAGTCTTCCAAGCGGATATTTTAATTGTTCCAAACATATGGCACAATTTGATTCCATTTTTTCTTAAAAAAGTCTTGTTAGAATAACACTTCCAGTGGTTATGCGAGCTCTTCACTAACAGATCCTATACTAATACTAACTGATAAAATAATAAAATGCTTATTTATAATGAAGAAAGTTTTTGAAAAATTTGCAAATGCAAAAAAATGTATTTAAAAAAATGGGAAAATTTATTGTGCAACAAAAATATTACAAAAAAAAAAAAAAAAAAAAAAAGGGAAAGGAAATTATACCATAAGACTTTTTGGAAATAAAAAACCCTAAATAATATTTTTTAATTAGTTTTAAAGTACTAAAATTAAGTTTCAAAAAAAAAGAAAAAAAAAGCCTTGTAAACTGGTTAGAATAACACTCCTTTTAATCGTCTGCAAAACTAACACTTCCAGTGGTTATGCAAACTCTTCACTAACAGATCCTATACTAACACTAACTGATACAATAATAAAATGATTATTTATAGTGAAGAAAATTTTTGAAAAATTTGCAAATGCAAAAAATGTATTTATGCAAAAATTGTATTTAAAAAAATGGGAAAATTTATTGTGCTGAGAGGCATTTTAAAGAAGATGAAAGGACATAATTTCAATGAAAATTTATGAACTAAAAAAATTTCTTTCAACACAAGCAATAATTATAGCAATAAATTACTAAAGCAAATAGAATTAACTTTAAAAAAAAGATAAAAAAGCAGACAATAAGCAAAATAATATCATTCAAATAAAATTAATAGTTAACAATGAGTTTTATATCAAAATGTACAATAAATATGCTCAATAAATAAAAGCATGCAGCAAAGAAAGCTAACCTGCATGACCGATTGAAATAATTGCTGCTACAAAAACAAATGATTTTGTGATACTAATTTTTACTTTCACAATAAATAATGTTTTTCCTTATAATAAGTAAATAAAACAAATATAATATGCCACAGATTATATATACTTTTTTCTTTCATTCTAAGTAATTTTTCCAAGCGTAACTAATTTTGATAAAAATGAATACTTTTTCAAACTGCAATTAAATTTTATAAAATCTTGAAAAAAACTTTCAGGTTGTAATTTTTTCAGGGATGTGATTTTATCGAAATTGTCAATTAATCAAATTATTGGCTACTTTTTTTATATTTAGTAATAAATACAAAATTATTAGAAATAATTACTAAAACCGCATTTAAATTATTAAATTTGTTAAATATTTGATTTAAATTTTGTCGTTTTGATTTTCAAATTAGTTGAGTTTGATAATTAATTAGATTAGATAATTAAATTATTTCCAATAAAAACGAGGTAAAATATATCAAATGCTTCTGATTTGTTATTTCTGTTTGTTTGTTTGTTTGTTTTAGATGTTAAATCTGTGTATTTTGCAATTATTTATTCAATTGCATGCATTGTAAACACATATAAAATTTACGAATTATTCGTAATATTGAAGAAAAATTTGATTATTATTAAAATAATCATCATCGATAATTATTAAAATTATTCATTAAAATAATCATTGAGATCAATCAATAATTATTAATTAAATAATTATTTAGTAATTACTGAAATATTTATTTAATATTATTCATTGAAATTCAATAATTTTTGTCTAATTATTGGAATGAAGTTTAACATAAATAACGATTAATATGATTTGAGATTTTCAAATCCATTGGTTCACCAATCATGAAATAAATCGATTTCTTCTTGTGATGGTATCTAAAAATTAACATTTTGAGAATGAGTTCAAGATCTTATCAGTAACATTCATTACCATGTATCACATACTTATCCAAAATAGCATTTTTTTTCCTCCATAAAAAATTTTTTCTCATTATTGTCTCATTTTTGTATACTGAACAATTGTAATTAAAAATTTGCGAGTGATAATAAGTTAATTAATTATATCTTAATATGTTTATTTAATGGTTCGATATTTTTCGTAACCTTTCATTTATATTTGAAAGCAGTTTTTCACATATTTCACAATTTATTTTTAATTCTTTGTTGTAATTACAAATTTCATTTTTAAATT